GAACAACGTAAAGGAGTGAAACAGCAGGCGTCAGGAGAGAAGGGAACAAAACGTAGATAAAAAAAAGCATAAGTGCACACGCAGCATATACAGTACTTAGAAGAGGAAGGAAGGAAAGGGGTAAAGTCATGGGTTTCGTCAAGTGTCAGGGAAGCTGCTCTGGTTGCAGTTTGTCTTCTCGAAAGGAAACGAGTAATGTCTTTCAACTTGGCACTCGGACTGAGAGACTCCCCCTCCCCCTTCCCCAGAGAGCCCATTAGCTGCATCCTCTGTGATGACTGCTCTGTCCCACGACACACTGGGCTCTTATGAAGGAAAAACAAGTATTAAAGGAAGGCAAATGTCCACCCAACCTACGTATTGTCTTGTGCTTTGTCAATGAAAAAAATTCCCCAACTACTGCACTAGGGTGACAATGAGACCGTGGGTATTTTTAAATGAAACCAGCTGTAAATTAAAAGGCTTATCGACTGCTTGGCCGCAATGTGCAGTTTTGTTTTTATTTATACATGGATGCGCACCAGACCTGCAGTATAATTCTGTTTAGAGATAATTGTGATACACACCCTATTGATCTACACTATTCACTATTGGTATTAGAAGGTCAAACTAGGTTATTGGGTTATAACTTGAATTACAGTTGGAAATGAAAGCTGTTATTTCTTACAGAGATTACAAATAATTATGTAATATAAATTCCTCATACTGCTAATATCAGGTTCAGTCATTTTCATTAAGAAAAACTATAGGTTTCTCACTGTGAACATTAATCAAAGACCATACGGTAGGTAACTATGCTGGTGAGCTAAATACATCTTTAAATACCCATACTATCCCCGGAGACCACACTCTCCACATGCAAGACTGGAAAAAAAAAGAAAGGAGGAATTCTGAAATGGGAAATATGGGATCCACAGGGTGCGTTCCCAGAAAAAGCACACAAACCTAAATGCCACTTCAGTACAAGCAACAAAACAAAATGTTATAGCATCTGGACTACATGTGCAGTTGTTGAACAAGCAGGCCAACACAGAGATATGTGCTTCACAAAAATGTTCCAAGACAATAATTGCGCCGGGGCAATTATTTAAGAAATAATTAAATAAAATAATATGCACTGGCATGAAAATGGCTGAAATGAGTTTGTAATTGTAAACTTGATACATACTTTATTAGGTTGTCTCTTATTTACAACCCATAATTCACGGTCGTTAAGGGATTTAACCCTGTGAAGTACTCTGCCACAGAAGAAATACATGCTAAGCAAAAGGGAGCAAGTTGGGAATTAAGCAACAGCAGACCTCGGAGAGCTGTACAAACAGGATGAAAGTCCTAAAAGCAGACACAGGTGGGTATTGCATCAGCTTCTTGGAAACCGATTCCTCACTCTTCGCAGAGATGGGCCCCTGCTGATTGCTCTGCTCTGGAGAACTGCTGCCGGCCTCAACGTAAGGATGTGTAAGAGGGAAATATACTGCTGTGTTGTAGAAGTCAGATTAAAAAATAAAAATAGGATGACAATAAAAAAAACCCAAAGCTAACATAATGCCTTAAGAGGTTTAAATTTTGTAAATGTAAAATGGCGCTTGAAGCAATGTGAAACAATGGACCTTGGATTTGGAATCTCACCATCTCCTTGTCTTTTGTCTCAAGCAATAACTTTGTCCACCATAAGATATTTTAGAAGAAAAAGTTACTTAAAAAACAGTTTTAAATTTTAAATATAAAACGAACCCTCAAAATTCAAACACAAATAATAATAATAATAATAATAATATCGAACCTATTTTACAGAGCTTGATGAAGCTCAGTTGCAATGTTTTTCTTAGAATGGATATTTTTAAAACATTCTTTGCCTAACAGAATTACCTTGGTATAATTTTACCTCCAAGATAAAAACAACCTACTGTATATGTGATTCAGTCCAGATAGTCTTTTGAATTCAGTAGAATTCTGAACTTCCAAATTGGAAAGACAACACATTTTTAACAATCATTTAATGCAAATACAACAACAAGACCTCACACTTATTATTTTATTTAAAGTTTAATCAGGTTACAACAGGTTAGTTTTCCGAGATGGGATTTCATAAAGACCAGTGAGTATTTGCAGTTCTGCTTAACCAATTACACAGACGCAACTCTCTGTTCAGTCCTGATGGGTATGTTGATAGCTCCCTAATGCATCAGGATCACAAACAGCAATTCTATAATTTGAAACGCAATTCATTAGCAGTCAGGATTTCCAGGAGGCAGTGAGATATCTCTTGAGACAGGAGAAAGCGGAAAAGGGGGAAAACAAATTGAGCAGATGTCTTCTGTGATTACACAAATTCCTTGCGATAGCAGGAATGAGATAATGATGTCAGGGATATATATAATTTACAAATGCAAAGACATACTGTACTTCCCCCCAAAGAATACAGAGGAATTCCTGTTCAAACATACGATGCTCTCTAAACTCCTCTGTCAAAACCTTTAGGAACGCTACACTATAGAGATCTGGAGAGCAAAAAGACTTTGCATGTTTAACTCCATGGTGACCAAATGTTTAAAAGCAACGTTTCCACAGCAACCGTTTTGTCTCAAAGCTCAGCAGAGGGAGATGATGGAGCACAAAAGACCTCTTGTTCTTTCAGAATGGAAGCAACGACTGAAATGAAAATTTGCAGGCCTTGTTGATCTACTGAAAGCACACTTGTTAAAGAGTTGACAGCTGGGATGTTGTTAAAGCACCGGTTTTGTACATCATTACACTGAAGTATGGAACTAAAATATCAGTTAAAAAAACTATGGTATGGTATCATACTGGTACTATAAAAATGAATCTATACTGTTTTAAATGTACTGTAGGTTAGAATATTAGTTTATTTGTATAAACTATGAGACCTTCCACAACCGTGTCTTGGGACAGTTTTGCTTTCTACTAAGAAAGGAAAATCACAATATGGTCAATTAGTTTTTAAAAAGTAATGACTGCTGTCTAAAAATTCATTTAACCTATCATATTTCATATGATAGTTCATATTCATATGAACTGGCTTCATCACTCTGTTCTCCTCCCCACTGAGAGCTGGTGTGTGGTGAGCGTTCTGGCGCACTATGGCTGCTGTTGCATCATCCAGGTGGTATAATAATAATTTAAGAATATACAGCATAAAAATGCAATGAAAGCTTTTTGCTAGTTCAGTCCAATGTGCCAAACAAGGTCCTGTTACAATAGTAGTCTGTTTCAGGTCTCTGCACACCTGTACAGAGTGGCGCTGAACAGCACTCAGACAGCAGATCCAGCACAGCTGCATTCAAGAAGCATTTCAAGTACTTGTTGGAGTGCTCTGAGGACTTCGGTAAAGATCTCGCTAAACCATGTCAAATAGATTTTGGTTCATAATCACTTTCAGAGGACACTTGTTACGGTCCAGTTTGCGAGAACCCTATATTATAGCCAAGAAATGGAAAACCAAGTGAAGAGAAAACCTAGATTTACCTAAGATAATGAGATGCCCAGAAGGGTTTTACTGTATTTTCAACCTCCTTGCCAAAACCAAAAAGATTCCTTGATCATGAATGAATGAAGCACATTATCTAACAAGGGCAGTTAGAATTGAAGCTGCAAAACTGAATTGAAGAACTAGCAAGAAGGAAAAGCTGGAGTTGCTTAAGGAGACAAACTCAGTGGGGATAAAGCTGTGGTCCTTAGTGACCATCAGCAGTGCCTGGACAAAATCACAGCACCAAGATCACAACAGCTTTTAATATGCTTCCATGGAGCGGGACGTTCATCAATATTCCCACAGGCTGATTTAACAAAGAGATTGGAGTTCTTTAGTTTACAGGGTTATGTAGACATGACAAAACAGAAGGCTGCCATTCCTGAGATGGGATTCTCAATGTGTACAAGAGGAATGTCCTCTAGGGCCAGAATCCTGCAGATTTTACAGGTGGTTCCGCGACTGCTGATTAGGACCCTAAAACCAGGTGTTTCTAGTTTGTATCCACTTTAGCCCAACCAAATAATTAAGAACAGATGTCGACTAAGAGCCAGGTGACCCTAAGGCTGTCATGAACTAGGCTTTTCCAACCCTGATGTACAGGACTGCATTTCTGAGGTCTTTAAAGAAAACGGGGAAAAATTCCAGATTTATAATAAATACCAAAACTAGTTCTACTAGTTCGGTGTGGCAATTCAAGCTAACAGGGGGATGCAGAGCTCAGCACAGCTGGAAATGCGGTTGATTTACCATTCTGAGGTCTCTGGATCAGCAAGCAGAATCTCTGTGAAACCCTGGGCCTTCTAAGGCAGCAGGACAACTCTCATTTAGAGTCTTTATCTCTGATGGGTAGGGGTTAGTGGTCATCATAGTGAATAAAATAGCTAGAAATCCTGGTGTGAAAACATTTTAAAGGTTAACTTGAAAATTAGCTTGGGGGTTTTTCAAAATATAATTCCTCTTTCAAGGGTACTATTATTAGAACAAT